TGGGGAAATTCCGTAGATGGTATGGACTCTGGTGTCATTTATATAGGGTAGCCATACGTACTATGGATTTTACAAGCTTACAAAAATAGAGAAATGGGTTTTTTTAAACGAAACCAATGTCAAAACTCGATAAATTAATAAATAAAAGTTTAAATCTTTTAAAATTATGGTAAAAAAGGTAAAAAAAGTTAGGATCGGTGATTCGAAAAAATGGTATCTAATATGAAACAGCAAAGGAATTAGTCAGAAAAACTTTAAAAACATTATATTTCTTTATAACCACATCATTTTTTTCCCATCATATTGTAGGGAACATAAAGAAGAATTCAACCAGTGCAAAAGATGACACTTTTATTCACATAGTGCTAACTTTAAAACAGTTGAAGTGGAAAGCATACGCTGGTCCGCGAAATGACAAAGGCAAGAGTAGCATGCTTTGATTCTATGCACTTTTTCATTCTACTACTACCCACAGATGGGCATTATCTAGATAAAAAATTATTTAAATAACTGTTCGAATAAAAGATACTTCATCTTTATTCGTTATTCGAAGCTTGAATAACGAATAAAATTTTTTTATCTTTTATTCATTATTCAAAATTTTTATTTGGATAAAAATTTTGCCCATCTCTGCTACTACCATTATTGTAAATTTAGTGTTGTGTGAACAAAAGTGTCATATTTTGGTCTGCCTAAATTCGTCTCAATGTCCCCTACAGAATAATGGAAAAAATTGCGTGGTTCCGTGCATGACCGTAAGGAAAGAAACAGAAAACACTTGTCTCGCACCTAAGTGGTTAAATTCCCTTGTAGAAGAAATAAAATTTTATCCAATTTTTATTTTGAATGTTAGCATTTAATACACTGAACTTGCATAAACTCCACAGTTTAATAGTAACGATAGGGTAAATAAGTGAAAAGATTTCCATGATGTCAATACGACTACCGTAAAATGAATAAGTTACGCGTAATTCTTAAAAAAAAAAAAAAAAATCTGATTTATGGAACTTTGTAGACCACGCTTAGTCAAAGTCGATCAAAAAGCATCGGGGAAGTCGCTACTGACGAGTTACGGCGAACGAATTGATTCAGCCGTGGAACGTTACAAACTGAAGCAACCCTCTGCGCTGGAGAAGACGCGGACTCAACCGAATTCCGCCGAAAGAAGAATATCAGGATGGAGGTTAAACAAAGTTAGATGTTTTCTATTATAATACAGTGATGTTTCGAAAATGGTTCATTATTTAGAACCAGCGACTCATGTCTGGAACACCCTGTATTCGTATTTAACAATTGACAATATTAATTACAACATAATTAATTTCCAATTAATTATATTAAATGTACATTCGATACGAATTTATAGGATGACTGAACACTTGTTAAATAATTCTTATTCGTTTTGAAATCGTAAGAAACCGTTATTAATACTCGCACGACTGTCGACGGGTCTTTTTAATTCCAGGAATCAGTTTTCTTTCGTTTATTCCTTTTACGTTCCGAATACCACAATTCTTGATTTGAATTTCGCGGGGTCGTAAATCCCAGTTGCGCTCGATCCCGTCGGTAATACGGGAATGTTGACTTCATCAAATTAATGAGCAGTTTCGTTCAAAACGAAGAGTGATTTCGAATAAACGTGTTTAACAGTAATAAAGAGAAAACAATTTCAGTACAAAATTTGTATATACAAGTACATACAAACTAGATATATCCTCGAAACTACCAAAGTATAGAATAAAAAGTTGGATGTTATATTATAAATAAACACCCTTTATTATTTGGTAAATAAACACCTAGGCGAGCTTTTCGTCAGAAGATATATCTTCTACCCAGCAATGGAGATGACAGGAAGGAAATGGAAAAATGGAAGTTGATTTAAAACTCAATGAATGTCGCAACACAAAGTGGAAGTTGTTTTATGTACAACAGAAAAGACAATAATCATTTTAAAGAATGTATAATGTATAAACAATTTATGTGTAAAGAGCATTCTATAGTATCAAAAACAGTGAAATGTACAAATTATGCTTGTGTTTCATAAACGTTGCTTTCTTAATAAAAATGAAAACCGTTTAGCAAAAAATTAGGATATTTGTGTTTTCTAAGCGGTGTGTGAAAGAAATATTCAAGATTGCTACACAACTTAAGCGTAAATACATAAATATTACAATCATAAGGTGTGGGTCTAAAAAGACTCGGCGACGGTCGTTCGTGTAACTAAGTAAATCGGAGACAGCCATGCGAATGTTAAAATCTATTCTAATACCTAAAAAACACTAAAAGTCTACAGAAAGTGTGCAGAGGACTGTAAAGAGGCCTGCAACCAGGGTCACTGCGACGCACAATTTCGTGTACGAGTTCAATCCATTCGCAACGTCCAAAACTGAATCCAATAGCATACCGATAGCAAAAGGATTGCAAAGATCGTCTAACATTGGTCAAGGAGGTATGCAAAAATTTAAATAATATTAATAAAACCATTACATTCTTATATATTTTTCTTATTATACCCATCCAGATTCTCCTTCAAAATTTCTGAACGCCAAGCAAAATTCTGGCAACATTCGCCAGCATTCTGTCGCCATACTACCGAAATTGGAGTCACGGAAAGAGTCAACAATAATCAATTTCGAAAAAGAGGATACGGCAGATTATAATAAAAACACAAATCTGCCTAACATAAAACGTCGAGACACGAGATCCAATCATCGATTAACGAAGCACCGTAATGAAACGCGTAAGATTTTCCCTTTGTAATCGTATTAATTATATTACTTGTCTGTATCACAATTATGTATAAACTTTTACAACACATTATTTATAAAGGATGATTCATAATCGTTATTAAAACATATTTAGGCATATTCTACATCTAAAAATCAACCAAAAAGTTTGTATGTATTTTCATAGGACGCGAAATTTGTTTTTATGTATTTTAGTTTATTGAAATTTATCTTTTAGTTTTGACATGTACACTACGTCTATAATACCCTATTATACCTAAAATAGCCGTAAAATGGACGTCTTCAACTATCTGGGAACCAGTTGTGTACAGGTTTCAAGCAAATTGCCAGCAATAGATAATTGTCAAAATCGACGTAATAGAAAATTATATTATACCAACATTAATGTTTACATGTAGAACCAATCGATACGAGATAAATGCATTTAGTAGGCGAATACAATTTTTCCGAAAATAAATTCCCAAATGATAAATTTTTTATCATGGACCACATACTTATTGTTTTATCTAATAACACTCCTGTCAGAACAATACATACGAACTAATTATTAAGTACAATTATCCAATAAAATCACCAATATTTCATTCTTTCTTTATCGTTCAATAAATTTATTTGAACAAAATTTTTATTTCGAAGGTAAGCGGAATTTCGTTACTGAAATCGATCGCGAAGTAGAAAAAGTAAAATCAGACTGGCAAATGCTAAAGTCCGATAATGGATTGTCACGGGGCAAAAGTTTCATCGGAAGCTCGAAAACGAATAAATTATACAACACATTGGAGGAAATGACACGAGAAATAGAAAGGATTCAGAAATCGTATCTGGATCCGAAATCGAATCAGTACTTACAACGAGGAGCTGCCAAAATATTATCAGCGCCCGAATCAACGTTTCAGGAAGAAGCTGATAAAATCAGAGATGCACTATTCCCTAAAACAAGTGTCGATACTAAATTTATCAATAAAAAAACAATCGATGAAAACGTAAAAAATACTCATCTACACGGAACGTGTACACCGGGCTCAGCTGTACATAAACATTTGGAAGGAAAATTTCAGTTGACAAATAAACAATGTCGAGATAACAATTTGACAAAATTTAAGAAAGGGAATCTGTGCGCGGCTCCATTGAAGTCGAGGAAAACGACTTCCGATATCGAAAATTATTTAGAGAATTATATCAACAGCGCAGAAAAGAATTTTATGAAAAATGATGAATCCACACAAAACGATTTATTTTCAACCTCAGAGGATGTGACGAAGATGTTGAAAAACTTAAACGTACAACCTTTCGATATGTTTAATATTGTTGGTGATTATAACTATGACGAGGAGCTGTCATCGGAAGGTGCGGAAACGAACAGAAATATCGGAGATAAAGATTGTACACAAGCAACGAATGAAAAGACTGGAAATACGGAGGAATTTAATACAGAAACATTAGTTCCGCAGAAAGACGACAATACATTGTGTTTTGATAGCTCAATTCAAACAGCAATTCAAGCTTCACGTAAAAATAACGCTTTTATGGAGATGAGTTTGCAAACGTTGAACACTGGCCTGTCTCAGAATGTATTATCTCGTGTACTCCAGTCAGAATACCTAAAAAAAGATGTGTCATTAAAACCTATGTAGAATTGAGTGTCAGCATGAATAAAATTTAAGTATGAAATATTTCAGAATGAGTGTACACACTGAGACAGATATCCAAGGGTGTTTTTTTAAAAGGTATAATTTAAATATTGTAAAAAACATACTTTTTTCGTTTATTCCAATACATTGTTCGCTTAATCGGTAATTATCTCTCTCTATGTAGAGAGTGCTTTAGAGATGTAAATGTAGTATGTGAAAGTTAAATTTCTTTTTTTTTATATATATATATACAATCTTATATTTTACAGAATATACATTCGTTCTCTATATGAAAAAGGTGAATTTTCATTTTTTTTATATATGTATATGTATATATACGTATCACAATATATCTTTCGTTCGCTGTTATTAAAAAGATATACAAATAAAAAAAAATTGTAATAAGTTAGGTTATATTTTCAATTTTGCAAATGATTAGTAACCAATTCGACTGTGTGCATAAAGCTATGGCACTATATATGAAGAGCACTAACTTTAACGCTTACTGCGCTAGCACTGTGATGAGTATTAATTAACCCTTTAATGCCCAGAATCTTAAATCGTTATTTGAAAATTATGAGACAGATCCCTTTTTTTTCATATTTTTGGAGGGAATACTTGAATTTCTCAACTGAAAACGTGGAGATTTACTTCACATTAGTGAAACTATGCATCCGTGGTGACAAACGTTAGATATTAATTGGCGACTGAATTTTACGCACTTTTAAATTCAGTGTTGCACCGATGCAACACTGGTCGTTAAAGGGTTAAGTGACGAGAGTATGAAACTTCCTTAGTGTACATGCCCTGCATCTTGATATGTTTTTAGCTAACTGGTGTGTGATGTATAAACGTGCCATGCTGGTGCTCCATGGCCATGGTCAAAATTTGTTTTTAAAAAGTCGTGTATAATAAACACGATTCAAAGGTACATTTTCACAGCAAGTTTTTATCGATCGTATAATTTTCCTGACTCTGACAATAAACACTTGCGAACTTGTCTTCAAAAGGAGCATATCACAATACTGGAAGTGCAGAACTGTGACTTTGGTATATGATGGCCCCTGTGAAATTAATTGCCGCGGCCAATACGAAAACTGGCATCCAACGACCATGCGACGCTGTCACTAACTCAGCGGTTAGTGGACCACATAAAATACCGGGTATGGTAGCCTAAAAAATTATAACTCATTTTCATTTCAATTATTAAATGATGAATTAAGAAAAAACACCATGATGAGAACCTTAAATAATCGACTTTTTCATATTGCGTCTCTTGTAAATAGATGTGTATACTTGAATGGACACCAAAACTTTGAACATCAACTTAAAAGAGTTGTATGTCTTATGTATATGAGTTAAAGGTTTCCACTATAAATCTTAAGTCATCATAAGAAATTTGAAGAAACAAATTTCCACAATCGCCATCAGGGTGTTTTTGTTTAATTTAAACAGGACTTAAACGTACAATAGTATTAGAAACCGCAAATGTGATTCCCGCATGATTTGGTGCTATGTCTGCATGATTGCTAAGGTGGCCAGCAGAATTACACGCACAAAGGCCCATGGATATTGAAACGAAGCTATAATAAAAAAATAGTGATAATGTATCTTTCAACTTATAAATAAAACTATTTAGGCTGAATTTTAATACTAACATCACTGCAGCAAGTAAATTATCCACAGCACAAAATGCTAACAAAAATGCACCTGGGCCTACTAGACCTATGTTTGTCATTAATCTCCTTACAGACAAGACAGTCCACCTTTTCTGTATAAGATTATCAGCACTGTGTCCAGCAACTGTAAGTAGGAAAATAGTTTTTTAATTATTACATGTTGATTATTCTGTTATCATATGTTACAATGGAGCTGTACAATGGAAGAAGCAAGTTTCTTTTTAATTTTCTAACCAAAGGTACTGCAGAATGCAGAAGACAATAAATATAAATAAATTCTAGATTATTAACTAGTAACATCAGTATTAGGATTCATTTTCTCCTCTAGTGTTTATATTGCAATAGGTTTTCATTGTTATTTAATACTTACCAATCCCAACAAGGGAGTTCACAATATATGGAAGTGCTGTCAAACTAATACTTTCTTTGTTAGCAGACAAATTTCGTGCCAGGTAAGTTGGCAACCATTGCATTATTATGTAGTTACTCCAATTCATTGCAAAATGTGCTATGTACAATGCCCACAAAGGCCAATGTGAAATAAATTCAGTCCAACGTAAACTCCTATTTTGCGTTACCTTTAAAATAAAGAACATCTTATTAGGCACAAGTTTACTTTAACTTCTGATATTACTTTGAAAAAAGTAACTACCTTAGGTACGAATAAAGGAATTTCATCCTGAGAATTTGTTTCATGGTAAAGTATTAACCATAAAAGTGTCCATATAATACCAATTGATCCAAATAAATAAAAACCTGTTTGCCATGATAAATGTGGACATAGCTAGAAGTATTTTTCAAATGAAATTAATTAATGAAAGTATAAAGACCACATTAAATTATATAAACCTCAAACTTACAACAGATGCAACTACTTGTCCAACTGAACCAGCAGCTACAAGGTACCCAAAGGCACGAGACCTTTCCTCTACAGGAACATTATGAGCAAACAAATGAAAAATAACAGGTAGACCTACAACCAATGTAATGTCAAATATAATACTATGAAATTATATGACCATGTCTTCAACAAAACTTTACCTAGACCTTCTCCCAGCCCTAAAATTACCCTACAGATGATGAGCAATGGAACTGATTGTGCTAGAATTGGGGTTATCACTGTACTAATAGACCACAATAACACTGCTAACATTAGTACCGTTTTACATCCAAACCGACTTGCTGTACTCGCACCAATAATCTAATTAAAAATTAATTTAAATAAGTGTCACATATGGTACCAAGTATACTGTTTATACTCTCTATTAAATATCAAATCATTTTATAAAATAAATTTTAGATGACACTAGATTTGAATCAAACGAAACACAAATATTGAATACTTTACTGTACCTGACTAGTAAAATAACCGAAGGCGAAAGCAGAAAGTATCCAACCTTGCCAATGTAAATTCCATTTAAACTGGTCGGTCATCGGGACAATTGCTATAGGCATTATAACACGATCCGCTGCGTTTATAAAATTCGCGGCAGAGCACAATGCTACGATCCGCGATGTTCGCGGAAGCATTCGAAATTTCGGCATGTTTAGAGGATTTTATTCAATCACATCGTACACCATACTGGACCTATCTTAACCTCAATTGACACACAGCGTAAAAAATTTCTTAAAAAATAATATTATTCAGAGACACGTCAACGTTAACAAGAGACATTGTGGTCACTCGTGTAATATCAATACGTTCGAACACTGTAATACAGTTAATAAATATAGTAAAAACGAACGTGAAAACTGATCACATTGTAACAGGGAGAAAGTACAGCACGGAACTTGACGTGTCAAATACCACGGTTGCACATTGCACACACGGTTTGTAAACGTATTTATGTAAATTTTCTACAGGTGGCGCCTAAGTTTGAATAATTCCACTGTTGCTCGTCTGTATTAATATCAGATTAATATGTAACTATTTCCTATTTGTCCATTTAAAAAGTTGATTTTGTAATTTTATATTTTCTGAATCTGTCAAACATTGCTTAATCCCTGCATGGCGGACTGAGAAAGGCCACTGGCCGGGTCACTTGTGACCCATACTAGGCACTACACGCCTGTAAAAAATCCACATTCATGTACAAGAATTTCTAAAAAAATAATATAAAATATCTCAAATAACACAAAAACGTCCTATGTATGTCCGATGGACGTACGTTCCGAACGTTCTGTACATTCGGAGGATGTCCCGAAGAGATCCATATGTCCCCGTTAGGTCCTCGTTAAGATCTTTAAATGTCCTAGGAAGGTCCTATTTACAAAGTGGAACGTCCTGAGGACGTCCTGTGTCAATATTCTCAGAACGTTTTTCGAATATGTCAAAGTAACATTCTCTGTACTTTTTGGGAACGTTTAAAGAGTTTTTAAAAACGCTATGGTAATGTCTTAAAAGGCGTATAAGGAACGTTTCCCAAATGTTTAAAATTACGGTTAGATTTCATGCTGTGCAAGATGATAGAAGTTAGGTTAGATTGGTTTGTGTTTAATAAATAAAAGATTAACTTTCCTGCGATTTAATGTGATGTCTGATAAAAAGTTTCTGAAAAAATTTGAGCAAAGGAGTATTGAATGGAATATTAAATCAGTCTTGCAGAAAAAGGTTTAATTGAAAAATAACAAAATGTTAGAACTTTGAAGCAAAAGGTCCATTTGTTGGACAAAAAATGGCCATCTCCTGACGCATAAGTCAGATAAAAATGAAAATATCGAAAAAAGTCCACGTCGGACAATAGGCAGCTTATGATTCATTTAATATTCTGAGTCTAAGTTCTTAATAGAGCAAATAAATTTTCATTGGACCTCTTGCCTTACGATGTTATTTGACGACTGTACTCTCAAGAATTATTTTATCATTAATAATTTCCCAGATACAAAATTCTATTCTTATGGCAAGTGTAACAATTACTCTAATTCTTAAATAGTAATACCAGCGAACCAGTATTTCACTTCGACTTGAAGATAACGAATTATATGAATGTTTGGTTAAATGATTAATGACTCGATGTTGTAAGGCATAAGGCAAAGAGTTAAGTCATATGTCAGAAGAAATTGGTCTACATTTTCATTGAAATCTGCAGTCAATTTATCACCCTCCCGGAAATTGGTTTCAGATGTTTCACTGTTCCTTAAACGTAACCGCTTCGAATCTGTTGCTGGCCGATCGAAACTTTTTGCCCTCTAATCGAGGGGGATTCTCCTCCGGTTCGTGCACAATCGTTTGTACAATATCGTCGCGGGCTCACGACGAGCCGGGGCATAAAAGGAAAAGTCACGAACCGTGTGTCGATGCACCCGGTCTGTACGAACTCAGCCGATTATCTAATGTCGTGGCATCTATATTTACAGTGAACGGAGTGTACCGTGGGGGAGGAAGCTCCTCAACGAAACCTGATCAACAGAAATTTCACTGAAAGTATGCGCGACGGGAATTGACGAGGATCGAAATCGACATGGTTGATTTTAAGAGGTGATTGAAAAAAAAAACAATTCTTGGGGAATTTTTCAGGGAACAGGATGTGCATTATTTTCACGATAGCTTTCTATATTTAATAATAGCACATTTAAAGAGTTGTTGGTTAATGTTTTATGCAAAAATAATTTATGCATAATTTTATGCAAAAAATAAAAAGGTGGTTCGCGGTAATCACTCCTGGATCATCTGACATTAAAATGTTGGGATAATTTAGTTAATATGTTAGTTTATCTAATCTTTAATTTAACAAGGAAGGTTTCCCAACCCAGAGACACCGATTTTAATGAAACTTCATACGTTGTTAAGCAAGCAAGAATAAGGGACACGTATTTTTTTTTATCGGCTAACATTCACTTTAAGGGGGTGAAACCACCCCTCAAAGTTTCGACCCAGAAATACAATCTCGAAAACTAGAGGAGATACATGAAAACTTGACTGTACCTCTATTTATACGATGATTGTTAAAATTAGGAAACGTCCATAACACGAAAATAATTTCAAATAAGACTCATGCATACATAAATTTCTTTCCGATAATCTCTAGTGAAAGCTAGCTTTCCCGGAAATCTGTAAAAATTGTACATGTCAACGTATAAAATTCATTTTAGACTACAGAAAATTACATGTGTCAATTAGGTATTGCTTTTAAAATCTTTTTTTAATATTCTAATTTTGTTATTATTATTATTTCTTAGTAAATATAATACTTATAATATAGTTCCTTTTTCATTTTTATAATTTCTTGACAACTAAAATCTCTAATGTACCTATTGGGTTTTGTACATGTTTTAATTCTTTATCAAAATACATATTAATCCTTTCAAACCAAGTGACCATGTATCTGTATAGTAAGTTTCTTACAATTTCACACAAAGCCTTAGATCTCTCACGAACAAACTCAGCTTCCGCTAGGGGGACAAGTGACGTAGGGAAAAAAGGCCTCCTATTACTTCGTTTCGGATGTTTCTGAAATTTATGCCAAATTATCATTTATTTTAACATTTATTTCAGTACTTGAATTAAATTTACCAAGTGGTATGTTGCCCTCATCCTATCCAACTTTTTGCCCTAGCGGCAGCCGAGTTTACTCGTCAGTGTACAGTGTTGCAGATCCATACTTATCTTATAAACTCGAACTTTTTCATGTTCTGAATGTTTTTAATATATCTAGTTAATTCAAAATTGAATAACGGACCTTTCCCTAAAATTTAAAGGAAACAATTTTTTAAACAAAACATCATCGAAACAATCTACTGACTTAAAATGTGCGATCAAATATATTTTTTACTCTTAAAAGAAAATTCATACCTGAAACGGTTAAACGTATACTAAAGTTTCAAGTTGACGTTAAAAAACATAATAAAAACAAAACAAATCGAAAAATCGGTAACTTTTTTGTCCGCTACTGTACAATGCCAATTATACATACGTATAGCAACTTATCATTTAGCAGACTACATAATAAAAATTGTCAACACCAGTAAAAAAAAAGAATTGCTATAAAGATCGATAATAACGCCAAGGACAACAGAGGTAATTGTTCGCATTTAGGATATTGTAATCGGAATCTAAGAACTCCCCGTAATATACAGATTACACAACGCATTCAGAACCATAATCGAAGAACACACACGGTTGGTTTTGCTGGCAGATTCTTCAACCACGCACGGGAGAATGAAGAAGCAGCTGCACCCACGAAAGATGCAGCGGATTATTAAGAACGTCTAGCACGCGACGTAACCACGCGGCAAGTCTTCGGCATGAAACGAGCGTACCTTCGATTACGTCGCACGTTCGTTCCACGGCTTTCGATCAATTACAAGGATACAAAATGAAAAAAAAAATCCACGAGCGCGCTCGTGACATAGACAACATAGATCTTCTCGCATCGAAGAAGAGCCCATCATCATCTCTTCCCTTTCTACGATCTCTGTCGATCCTCGACAGCGGCGACCGTCGAGCTCGTTCGAGCCATTAACATAAACGATCCAGCTTACGTAACCGTGGGCGACTTTCTTTTCAAAACTTTTGCACGAATCTCGTTCCCTCCTTTCTCCCCCTTTAGACAATGGCAGTCAGTTTTTTTTTCGACGCTTCACGCGGAAGAATCGCCGCCCATGGTAATAATAGTACACCAAGCAAGGTCGCGTTGATGCAATCTCTCCCCCTCCCCCGGTTTCCCCCCTTCGGGAACTTTATTTTTAACCTTTACGGCTTTGAATATATTTGCAAGAGTTAAATGTTACGTTGTGTCCGTAAAACCACGATGTTTCGATCACTCCTGCGAACGTCTGTCGTGTTGGCTACCTACAATCCATGGTACCTAACCGAATGATTTCGTAATGTCGCACGATTGAAGAAAAATAAACTTTCCGGGGTTAAAACATCACAGTTCCCTGCCGTTGCCCACGGGATCGTTGATCTATTATTAATATTAAGCACAGGAATAAATATTCAAGCAGCATTGATTTATGCCTCCTTCCGTTTTGGTGTTTTGAAATTCAACTTTCAGGAAGGCGATTACCTGATTCCGTGACCTCCGAGTCCACCAGGTGATCGGTGATCCATTTGTAAAGAAAAAAAAACATCTATACGTTCGGTGAACGGTGGAGGATCTTCGTGTGGCGATACGAAGAAAGGATCCAATTTGTAGTAAGCTGTTACATTGAAGACCTTTCGGCTGTTTTACTAATATTTCCATTAAGAGTAGCTCATAGGTTGTGTAATACGAGTCGGACCTTCTGGAATATCGATGAGCGGTCGCAAAGATGTATTTTCGTTGGTCACTTCGGTGCTTGATTACGGTCGATTGTGAATATTTAGCGTGTGTGGTTGGTGAGATGTTGTGTAGCATGAAGATACATTTTAATCGTATGCTAAGATGTTTAAATGTTTCGTAATAGTGGAGGTACGGAGGTGGTATTTCATTTTTAATGAAAAAATATTCTCAGTGTTTGTCATCAGCGCTATTTTCAAATTTATTAATATACTGTCAGTGAATATTGGTAACTTAGCATGTTGGAATTAATCATGATTATGAATCAATTTCCACGCTACAGTAAAAAAGTAATACGAAAGTTTCACAATCCGGTGTAAACAGGGAACTGATGTCTGATTTGATTGAATGCAACAATAAACAATAGTCGATTCATTATATTGTGTGCTATATTGCACAACAATGCTTGTGCTTACGTATCAGTAGTAACAATAACAATATGCTTAACCATCTTTCTTACGCGGTTCATTTCACACCAGGCGATATTTTTCTCTATCTGTCTTTTCAATATTTATTCAATATCCAGGAATGTTTAAATATTTTGAACAACTGCGTAACGTTGTAGACAGTGTGTTGAGGATCTTGAAATTATTTTAAAGGGAACAAATAGAAAACTTGTTGCGCCAGCCCTGTCTTACTTTCATTAATCTCAATACTTTTTCTTTGTACGATGTCTTTATAATTTCAAAGTAACTCTAAACCGTGAGTGTTTATATTTACTGAAGTACTTATTTTGTAAAACACAATAAAGTAGGAATATTAGCAACAATTACTAAAGTTTTTATGTTATGTTTAGTTTAAATTCATACTTAATATATGAATTAAATTTTTTATTCAGATATTTTATTTTTACACATTTATATATATATATATATATTGTTTATAAATAAATATTGGGAGAAAGTTAACTAGATAATTCACTTCGTCCAAGATATACAACAAATTTTTGTACCTAAAATCTAAAAATTAATAACAACAGATGATTAATTTTATCATATAAAATTTAGATAGAAAATGTTAGATTTAATAAGACAGTAATCTTTCGTAAAATAAAGTCAGGAGCTAAACATTACAATCGTTGCGTGTGTAATTTCGATGCCTACCATGAGAGGCGTTTCAAGACATGAACTGTTGATAGAACACATCCACAAACGTTTACTTCGTTTTTATAGTTTATCTAATAACTTGTAATTTACTTTCCAACGTGATCATCACGATAAGTGTAAAGGCATATTTAATCCTTGTTTAT